ATTTAAAAGAAAAAAAAATTGGGGGGGGGGTAATTAAGTTTGTTTGTTTGTTTCTTAATGGAGAGGTACTGGGGATTGAACCTAGGACCTCAGGCATGCTAAGCACGCGCTCCAGCACTGAGCTATACCCTGCCCTCTCGTGTTAAATTTTTATCTATAAAGAACAAAAGTGATTCACATTAAGAAGAAAAAGTGGTCAGGCTGGGTAAGTGTGGAAGGGCATTCCAGCAGAGGGAACGGTACTGATGAGATCACAAGAGCTCGAGAGCAGGCTGTGTCTGCAAAATGACGAGAGCTCAGTCCAGCCTGAGAGGGTGACTGCGGGGTGCAATGGCTGGGGATGAAAGGGACAGAGTCCCAAGGAGACTTGGGAGCTGCAGGCTAGGGTATGGGCTTTGTCCTGACCAGAGGTTCAAGGCAATGAGACAGAAGCCGAGCAAGCAGGCCGGGGGCTGGGGACCAAGTGGCCAGCATGACCTAGTCCAGGAGGGTGGAGGCTGGCTCACGGTCCCTCATGGGCCATATGGCATCTGCAGAGGGATTAGACACCAGGACAGAGAGCAGGGCAGGGCTGCACAGTAAGGCTAGGTAGTGACTGTGGATGAACAGGCAGCAAGAAACCCATGTCTCCAACACTGGGGACTGGCTGACCAGGAACACTGAGTCTTGGGGCCAGCACACAGAACATTCCCTGTATCCCAGGCACCACCCCGTCCCCACTTCCTCTTATCACCAATGCCAGGCCTATGGTCAGCATTCATTAAACATTTGCTGAATGAATGAATGAATGAATGTCCAAGCTGATCTGCATTCTCCTCTAACCCCTACACCCATTCATTCATTCATTCATTCAACAAACACTGATTATGGCTACATCTGGGGATACAACAGGGTCCCTGCCTCTGGGAACCATATGGACCTACTAGACCAGAAAGTTGTAATTTCAGTGCAGTGTGGAAACCCATTCTGCAGGTCTGTCCAATGGCTATAGGAACCCTGGAGAGGCGCATCTAATACTGACTAGATCAGGCCAGAAAAGATATCCTAAAGCAAACAGGGCACAGGAACTGAAGAGATTTAAAGCAGGGGAGTGACAGGGTGTATTCAGTGTTAACAGAGATTCCTAACTCTTCCTTAAAGAATCAGGAGAATGGTCTGCAGGGAGCACGGGTGGCCAATTAAATGCCTAAAGCAATAGGACAGGAGAAGACAATGAGACTTGGTCTAGGATGGAGGCAGGAGAGACAGAGGAAAAGGGATGGAAGTATCCAGAAGGGCGAGTGCCAGGGACACAGGTCAAAGGTCATGCTTAGATTTCTGACTGGAGCCACTGAGTGGACGGAGTGCCATCTGCTAAGATGGGGACCCTGGCAAACAAGCAGTTGGCCTGTGGGAGAGTCAAGGTCAGTCTGGAAAACACTGAGAAGCTGAGGGGTCTGGAGCTCAGGAGGACTTTCTGGCTGAAAGAGAGGTGGCAAGCTGAAGGTAAAGCTAAGCTGTGGGGACGCATCTGTGTACCCCAGTGTTGGCTTAGGAAGAGGAGGCTCAGGAACAACCTGAGGACTGCCTAAGTTAATGGCTGGGAGGGAGCTGCAAGAGAGGCAGAGGGAGGCCTCCGAGGTAGGAGAAAGCCAGGGTGGGGGGGGCTCACGGAAGCCAAGGGAAGACGAAGCTCCCAAAAGGAAGAGGAGACAGAGGAGACAGCTCTGTGAACAGGAGGGAGGAGGACATCAGCAGAACAGGGCCGCTCACTCAGGGGCGGGTCTGTCCCCAGGGGACACATGGCAATGTAGGAGGGCATTTTTTTGGTTTTCATAACTCAGAAGGTGCCACTGGCACCAGCAACGTAGAGGATGGCCCCCCACAGAAATTACCCAGTCCCAAACATCGACTGTGCTCAAGTGGAGAACCTCTGAGCTGGAGTGAGTCCAGAAACCTAGCAAGGACTTTTTTCAAAGAAAGCAGAGACTAGAGCATGATTGAATGCAGGCGGGTGATCCTGGAAAGGCTCAGAAAAGTGGGTACATGCATAACTTGATGTTCCTGGGCTGCTGAGAAGGGAAGGGATCCGGGAGAGAGGTGGAAATGGCTGTCACATTCACTGAAGTAGGAAGCAATCATCACCTGAGAGGAAGGGGCCTGAGCGGAGAAAATGCACTGAACTGGCTGCTGTGCACGGGACGCCCGTGGTACAAGCTGAGGTCAGCTGGGGGTTTGACTGGACCGGGTGCCCGTCCGCCAGGATGCGAGAATCTCTCTGAGGTGGGCAGCCTGAGCCAGGCTGAGAGAAGGTCATCAGATGAACATAACCATGCATGTCTAGGGTCTCACTGGAAAGGTGTCATAAGGGACAAAGGGGAGTGAGCTGTGAGGCCACAGCCCCGGGACCAGCTTCGAAGCAGTTTTCACACACCAAGTAGCAGGAGAAAAGTGAATGCAGTAGGTTCTTCATAAAGTTAAGTTCATTCAATTTAAAGAACTGGGTGGGAGGGTACAGCTCAGTGGTAGAGTGCGTGCCTAGCATGTATGATGTCCTGGGTTCAATCCTCAGTACAGCCATTTAAAAAATTTTTTTAAATAAAAAAAAATTAAAAGAACTGCTAGTGAGATGCAGAGCTGAAATGCCAGCCCAGGCCCCCTATCCTACAACTCCTGGTGCACTCCACTCATCTTGCCCAAAAAGCAGGAAAAAAGTTTGTATCTGAACTGAGATAAATTCCAAATTACACTTTTACTGCTTTCACTGGTTCTCAAACCAGTTCTCTCTGGACAGATCACACCAAAGCTAAGTGTTCCTATGAACACAGCTCACATTACTCTGAAAACCACAAACCAAGAGACAAGGAAGTCAGGTACTATGAAAATGTCGGCGAGCACCTGCAGCACTCAGGAATGCCAACGGGGCCGAGTGTTCCCTTCCCCAGAACACAAAAAGAGAAAGGCAGGACTTCTTTGCAGCACAGGAGAATCTCTAAGCCCCTCTGAACAAGGACTCTCTTATTCAGGATGTCCTCCTGGAACTGGAGAGACAGTGCCTTCTAGAACATTCTAATGCTGTTCAATTTTGTGTATTATGTAAAGCTCCCATTTTGAAGACATTTATTAAATCGCAGACTCTCAGAATGGGAAGTGTCCTTAAAGGACTTTTCAGTTCAAAGCCCCCTCTGATAAACTAATTCCCTGTACAGTGGTCGGCCAGCCTCTACAGAAGTCATCCTGGGGACAGGCATTTTCCATCACTGGCAAATGCTGAGGGTTCAATGCAGCAGGACAATGAGTATATGGGGTTCAACATACTCCTCTACTGTCACATAAATGTGAACATAATATTATTGTATTTCCATAATAAATACAGCTTTTCATTTTGAAATTATTTCTCAGTGCAGGAACTACAGTCCCACAACCCAAGGCGGCAGTCAGAGCCACCCAGGAGGACTGCTCGTTCCTCAGCAGAGCTGGGAAGAGAGGGAGAGGAGGAAGAGAGCTCCCTAAAATGTTCCTCCCTGGGAAGAAAAGAAAGGAAGAAGCGCTTCACAGCACCCAGTCTTGCCATGTTTTTCTCCAGGGTCCTTGAAACCAGGGTCTCAGAACAGAGACCCATCTATAGAGGGAGACTTATCAGGTACCAGGCCTTCTGCAAACCCTTATGAGGCAAGCAGCATCAGGATGTAGGAGCCACCACGCCCACCTTACAGATGGGGACACTGAGGCTTAGAGGCTTATGGTCACACTGTAAGGGTGCGAGAGGGTGGGACTTTGAACCGGCCGGCCAACCCCACAGCCCGCCTGTGATCCACTGCCCTGATCCAGTCCCTAAGAGTTCAAGCTCAGTGTGTTTCAGATGTTGAAGTTAATAGTGTGACAGGGTGGCCCAAACCTAACAAAGGGCTGCCCACAGGGGACTCAGTGTTCTGCCTCGGGCCTGGCCTTGTATGGGGGCCTGGGGAGGCAGGATGGGCCTGCCTGGGCCTGCCCTGGGCAGGGCGCTGGCCAGAGTCCCTTCCACACATGGGACCACACCAGGCCAGGGTGCCATTCTTTGGTCCCTTCCAGCTGTCAGAATGGTCCCCATTTCTCATGTCCCCACATTTCCCCTCCTCTCACCGTCTCAATTTTTACTCACTCTCTTATGATGGGTTTTCCCTCTTTTGGGAATCTATGTCTGGTCTGACACCAGGGCAGTGGCAAAACAGAGTTGAGATAAAAATGAAACTTCACAGCTGTCATTTCACTGAGGACACTGCAGAGCCACAAGCAAAGAAGACAGTGCTCAGCAGGAGGCCGCACGTACCCCCTTTATAAAAGGTGTCTGTTTCTTTACCTGCTACTTTATCCCGAATAAGTTTTGCAGATTCAACTTCACCAATACTGCTGAACAGACTTCGTAACTCATCCTGGGTCATGTTCTGAGGGAGGTAGTTGACAATCAAATTTGTTCTCCCGATATCATCCCTGCAGTCTTCGGCCATGTGGTCTTCATAACCATTAGACATTGTATTTTTAAAAAAAAATCTGCAGGAGAAAAAAAAATCAAGTAAATTCCAAATGTTCACACTGCAGAATATTGAGGCAACACTTATGACCACAACTGTACCAAGACATTTTTCTTTTCAACACTACAAGTTCAACTTATGTCCACACATAAACCTGCACTTGGAATGTTTATAGCAGTTTTATTCATAACTGCCCCCAAACTGGAAGCAGCCAAGATGCCCTTCAGCAGGCGAATGGAAAGACACACTCCTATCGTCTGGTACGTGCACACTGCGGAGTCTTATTCGGTGCCAAAAAGAAATGAGCTAGAAAGCCACAAGGACATGTAGGAGTCTTAACTGCACACCGTCAAGTGAGAGAAGAGTTTGAAAGGCTACATACTATACGGTCTCTGAAGTCTATGAAAACAAAAACAAAACAACTCCAAGTTCAGCCACTTCCACTTACGAGGAGGGCCTCAAAGGAACGAACCCACATGCAACTGTAGCACAACTCAAGCCCCCAGAGAAAGCCTATGGACTGTCCCTCGAGACTGTTCCAAAGACCTCTAAGTGCTTCACTCGTCCCCATGGGCACTACTGACGCAGCTGCAGGTCGAGGAGCCTGAGCCGCGGGCCTGAGCGCCCAGCCCAGACCACCCAGACAGTGGTTCCTTACACCCCTTTATTCCCAAGGCACAGCAACTGAGCCAAGAAAGAAGTTAAGATTCTCTACCAGGAGAGGAACTTGGTCTTCAAAGCTTGCAGGCTTTGGAATACCTTTGGCCACTTGCACAAATCTTTACCTTCAGTGACAAACATCAGAGCACAGAAATGACTTCAGAGTAGAGTTGGATCAAGACCCCTCTTCTGAAAGCACCTCTCGCTCTAGATTTTGTTCACAAGCACTGCTGTGCGGCTGCCTAGTCCAAGATGTCCCATGCCCCCGCCTCTAGATAAGCAGGCACCCTGTAGGGCCAAAATGTCATCACTGAGAAAAAGGCCCCACTGCCCACCCAGCCTAAGGTCTCAAGGGGCAGCCCACCCCCTTCCTCTAGATTCCTACTGCCTGGCTCTGATTTTATGCTTGAAAACCCAGTGCTCAGTATCAAGAGCATTTAGCCTCCTTTAAAAATAGCCTTGCCAGCAGTTGTATAAAAACCTGAGCACACCCCCTGCACAGGATCTCCCACCTGCCCCTGAGTCAACGCAGAGAGAGGAATTACGTCTGGTTTCCTGTTTCCTGGAGGAGACCTCCGGCTCTTTGCTCCTGTGCACACCCTCACTTGCCAGACCAGACACAGCAGGCACAAGTAGCCCAACCTCTAACTATTTCTTTCTTTGAAAATGTTCTGTGCTCCCTGCTCTTTATAAAACAGTTCAGCATCAAAAGCCAAGTAAGAAAAGACTGGAAAGTTAGGCTTCACAAAGTTAAAAACTCCCAGATGGCACAAGGCGTCACAGACAAGCAGCAAGACTAGGGACAAACACGTGCTCCCTAACACATGACTTAGATCAGGGGTTCTCACCCTGGGCGATTCTGCCCCCAGGGGCCCCGGGCAGTGTCTGGAGACATTTTTGGTTATCGAGACTGGGGGTGGTGGAGTGCCACTGGCATCTTGTGGGCAGAGGCTAAGGATGCTGTTAAACACTCCACAAGGCACAGGACAGCCCCACTACCAAGAATCATCCAGCCCAAAGTGTCAATACTACCAAGACTGAGAAAACTTGATTCAGGGCATCTACAAATTAACAGGGAAAAAGCAACATGTCACTAACAGAGAAGTGGACAAAGGATCTGAGTAACAACTAACAGATGCTGGCAATTCAAACAGCTAATAAGCCATGAAAAGCAGCTCAAGTTCATGAAGAAAATGCAAAGTAAAAAGAGATGCTACCTTCTGTCAGTAAGATGGAACTCAGTCCAGTGGAATAGTTACACTGGATACAGCCCAGTGTAAGTAAGGATAAGGGGGGAAGAAACACCCTCACACACCACTGATGTGAGTGTGACATGGCAGGGCCTAGAGAAATGTTTAACGTAAATTTGACCCTCTGACTCAGAGCTGTAGGAAACTGTTCTACAGAAATAATCATGAGTGCAGGGAAATACATGAAAGGAACACAAAACCCCATGGCTGGTAAAACTGAAACGCTGGACACAACCTAAAGATGGCTAAATAAATACCAATTTTCAGTAGAAAGCATGGCACTAATGGGTTTCATCATGAAAAGCTCCACAAATCTGCTGAACAGCTTGTGGCCATGAGACTTTAAGCTAGATTAGCTCAAAAACAAATGAACAAACAGAAACATCTGCTGAAGCCTGAACCAAAGTACAAAGGTAACTGTGAAAAATTGAAATGCACACTGAAGTTTGCTCAAAATGTGATTCAAACATTTTTCTTCTTCCTTCCTCTTTTTTGCCCTTTATCCCTCTCTCTCTTCACCCTTGTTCTGAGTTAGGCATCTACTATTCTGCCTTCTCCCTCACCCTGCTTTCATGGATGATCAATGGGGCAGTAATGACCCCATTCTCATTATCCAGAGGTGGAGGGTCAGGGTGGGAGTGTCCTTATGCCTGGTAAAAAGTTAGTTTTCTAAAAAAAACCAGTGGTTGGCAAACCATTGCCTGCGGGCCAAACTGTTTGGCCTGTCACCTATTTTTATAAATAAAGTTTTATTGGCACACAGCTACTCTCATTTGTTTATGTATTGCCCATGGCTGCTTTTGCACTACAGTGACAGAGTTGAGTAGTTGTGACTGAGACCATATGGTCCACAAAGCTGAAAATATTTACCATCTGGCTCTTTACAGAAAAACTGTGCCGACCTCTGTTCTAAAATGTAAAAATAGAAAAATTTCTAGGAGAAAGTCTTTGTGATACTAGGTGAGGCAAAGATTTCTTAGATGCCATATCAAAGGCACATCCATTTAAAAGAAACTGACAAACTGGATATCATCACAATTTAAAACCTCTGCTCTTGAAAAAGACATTGCTAGGAAAATCACAATCCACAGACCAGAAAATATTTGCATTATCACACATCTGAAAAAGGACTTGTTTCCAGAACATATTTTTTTTAAAAACTCTCAAAACTTAACAATAAGGAAACAAACAACCCAGTTTTAAAAAAGGTAAAAGATGTGAACAGACCCTAAGCCAAGGAAGAGATATGGATGGCAAATAAACACATGAAAAGATGCTCAACATCAGTTAACAGGGAAATGAAAATTTAAAATGGAATACTACTCAGCCATAAAAACCGACAACATAATGCCATTTGCAGCAACATGGATGCTCCTGGAGAATGTCATTCTAAGTGAAGTAAGCCAG